GGTTAGTGCCTTTGTCACCTTGCCCTGACCTGTCCATCCATCTGCCAGACCCTCTGGGTCTGGATGATAAGACCGGTCATGTCTGGAGATGCCCCTTCCTGTGACCATTCCCCTTTCTACTTCACCTACCCCCACACTGCACAGCTCTCTCCTTGCTTATTTAGGGCAAGAATCTTCCCAGGAATGGTGCCATCACTCCTTCAATGCGTCACATGCTGTGTAGAGAGCCCTATTGGTGTCATCTCCCATAGTCCCACAGCGAGATTTTCCAGGAAGTTTTATTCAGATGCTTTATAGAGCTTAGGAAAATGAGGCTCAGGAAAATTAAGGAGCTTGTCTAAGGTCACCCAGCTTGAGAGGGTGAGATTTGAACACATATCTGTACAGCTCCAAAGCCCATTGTGTTAACCACTCTTCTACTCCAGATATGTCCGAGGCTAGCCCACAGAAGTGTATATGGCAGAATCTGAAACAGCCCTACTGGGTCTGTGTCCCATGTCTGCCTGCAGCCAAGGTGGGATAGACTTGCAGTGAGGACAGGGTGGGATAGACTTGCAGTGAGAAGCGATCAGTCTGCCCTGGGGTAGGAAGGGGAAAATGACAGCACATGAAGGATTGTGACATTCAGATCCATTTCAACCATACTGCCACCAAAAGTATTAGCTTTCAATTGTTGCTGTAACAAATTATCACAATTTAGTGACTTAAAACAACACACGTGCATTATCTTACAGTTGTTGAAGTCAGAATTTCAAAATGAGTCTTCCTTGGTGTTAAAAGCAAGGTGTTGGCAGGACTGGCTCCTGGAGGCTCTGGGAGAGCTCTGGTAGAGAACCAATGTTCCACCTTTTCCAGCATCTACAGACTGCCTACATTTCTTGGCTTATCAGCCCTTTCTGTCTCCATCTTCAAATCCAGTAGTGCAGCATCTTGAAATCAATGTTGGTCTCTCTGCCTTCTATTTCTGTGGTCATTTTTCCTCCTCTGACCCTCCTGAATCCCACTTAGAAGGACCCTTGTGATTACATTGGGCTCATCAGGATAATCCAGAATAATTTCCCCATCTCAGGATCTTTAAACTTAATCACGTCTATGTAGTCCTTTTTTGCTGTCTGTGTAAAATAACACAGGTTCTGGGGATTATGATGTAGACATTTTATTTTTTATTTTTTGTGGGGGGTATTAGTCTGTCAACCACACAGTAGAAAGAAAACAGTTGTGCTCTGTGGGCTAGCCTGGGCACACCATTTCTGATGGGGTTTCTTTTTTTTTTTTTTTTTTTTTTAAGATTTTATTTATTTATTCGACAGACAGAGATCACAAGTAGGCAGAGAGGCAGGCAGAGAGAGGGAGAAGCAGGCTCCCCGCCGAGCAGGACTCTGAGATCATGACCGGAGCTGAAGGCAGAGGCCCAACCCACTGAGCCACCCCGGCACCCCTGATGGGGTTTCTGAGGGCCCAGGAGCAGCAGGTGCATTACTTGAGTGTGAACTGGGCAAAGGCTGGTAGAGCACCTGTCTGATACAGTGCCGGGAAACCATGCGGTGGATGACTTACAAGAGTGAAAGGTCTTGCAGCGTACACGGAGTGGGTCCTTGCCATGGAACTGAGAGCACTGTGCTCTGTTGCCTTGGAGCTCAAGGACCCGGCGTCGTGACAGGGACTTTTAGTCTCTGATTTTTTGTGGAATTAGAAGTTCTGTTTTTCATGTGCCCTGGCAGAAGTGCCATGCTGGTCAAGTTGTGGGATGGATTATCATACCTCGGTCAAGTGAGTATGCAGGCAGATTTCTGTGTCAGAGACCCAGTGTGATGGAGCTCTACCAAGGTGGGAAGCCTATGGCGGGAACAGGACCTGGCTGATGGGAAGGGCGTTCTGGAATATTGGAAGTGCTCCAAAACATGGACTGAGCAGTAATGCAGTGCCTGGAGGAGTCTGGCAGGTAGGGAGGGAAGTCGCTGAGAAGAGAGGCAGAAGCCACATCAGGAAAGTTCTACAGGGGACAGGGAGCTTGGAACAGAGGAATAATGGCAGATTTGCACATTAGATCACCTTGGTGGCCATCGCCCCTTAAGATCAGGACCCAGGTCTGATTCAGGGCCAAGTGCCCAGCCCAGCAGGGCCTGGGTGCAGGTGGAGTGCTCTGTGGGTAGTGAATAGTTGTTGCATGCAAGCCTCACTGTCCTTTGAGGCCAGCTCACTGGGCGCCCTTCTGAGGAGCTCTGCAGGCAGCACAGACCTTATTTGGAGGGATTTAGGTTCTTATCTGCAGGATATAGCACATCTCATGGTGGTGGGCTTCTTTCCACAATACATCGCTCATTACAAGTGCCCAGTAAATACCTGTTAAAAACATTCTGCTATAGGGGTGCCTGGCTGGCTCAGTCTGCAGATCTGTGACTCTTGATCTTGGGGTCATGTGTTCGAGCCCCACGTTAGGTGTAGAGATTACTTAAAAATAAAAATCTTTAAAAGAAAAATATGCTGCAGTAGAAATATGGGGAGAAGAAGAACAAAGTGAAAGCTGACAGTCCTACAAGTAAGGTGACTGGTCTCACTCACTGGTCATAAGAGTCCTATGTGCTATTAAATGAAATGCATTTCCTTTTTTGAAAAGCCCTTCCTCTACAGGGTTTCATGTGGGCCTCCTCAAACCCCTTTCCCAGGGGAAAGTCATGCAAATTATCTTTTTAGGAAGATAGTTGAGGAGGCTGGGACCATGTGGAGTGAAGTGGTTTGCCCATGGTCACCAACAGGAGGATGGAAGGATTAAGGTATGTATCTTGGCCCCTTGCATTTTTGTTTCCCTCCCATGAAGCTCCCTTTCCCTCCCTTCTAGTCCAGTTATCCTTACTTCTTTCAAGCTTCTGGGGTGTGCTGTCCTCCCCCCTCAAATCATCCTTTGTGCTGTGGTGCCTGTGGTGTTTCATAGGCTGTGTGCTTTCTTTTTTTTTTTTTTTTTTTAAAGATTTTATTTATTTATTTGACAGAGAGAAATCACAAGCAGGCAGAGAGGCAGGCAGAGAGAGAGGAGGAAGCAGGCCCTGCTGAGCAGAGAGCCCGATGCGGGGCTCAATCCCAGGACCCTGAGATCATGACCTGAGCCGAAGGCAGCGGCTTAACCCACTGAGCCACCCAGGCGCCCCGGCTGTGTGCTTTCTTTTGGCTGGCTCTTCACCCGAGCTACGTATGCCTTGTGTTTCACACTGAGAGTTCTGGGAGGGTCAGGGTGTGATTTGAAATTCATCTATGTACTTTGTGTGTGATCCACATACCCCCATTAGTCTCCTTTGAAGGAATGAGTCACTTTGCTCTTGAGGACAGGGACAGTGGCTGTTTTGTTCTCCACTGTGCCTAGCGCAATGTCTAGCTCATAATAGATGGTGAGTGATTTTGTATCCTGGGGCTTTGTAAGGGAGGAGAAGGCTGTGGTTTGGGTGTCTTGGGCATTTCCTAGGGGTTTTGGGGGGGGGGGGATGGCTTTGTCTCTTGCTTGGTTGTGCTACTCCGGTCTTGGCCATCTGGAAGTTGGGCATCCTCTAGTGGCACCCCAGAGGCCTTGTCCCTAAGGAATTGTGGAGGCATTTAGGATTTTCATAAGAAAACCACCCTTTCCAAAGTGTTTCAGCTCAGGGGAGGAACTCCAGAATCTTGTGTACGTGGGAAAGGGAGGATCGAAACAGGAAAGCTGGAGAAGGAAGGTGCATCAGGAAGAAGCGGAGCCCCAGTAGATCATGGGCTAGTGCTCTCCGTTGTTGTAGATTTCATGTTAGCGCTTATTTCTTGCTTGAATTAGAATCTCGGTGTGTGCACGTTCGCGCATGCGTGCCTCCCATTCTGCGCAGCTGTGCCTTCCTGGAGCTGCATGTTTATCTGAGCTCAGGGATAGAGTTTCAGTGGGCATGGCTGGCTTCAGGATAAGCAGCGTGAACATGCCTCCAGCATATGGATGTGATGGGGTTGTGGCCCAAGACCCTGGGCTCCATCAGACAGGTTCTGCACATTGTGTCTCAGTGTGACAATTGCCCATTAAATACCAGGCTGCTGGCATATGGTTTTCCCCAGCATCCCCTTTGTTGAGTGGAAACTTTAGCTGTGTGGTTAGAATATTTTCCCATCATTTAGCTTTCAGAATTAACTGTTTTTGGCGAATTCTGCAATTAACCCTGAATGGCACATTTGCCGATTATTACAGAAACAGTCAAACCAGCCAGAGTCGGCGGATCTGCAGCTGCTCTTTCCCATGATGGATAAGTGGTGGGTTAGGAAAAGGTGGGGCGATGGGAGGATTCTGGTGCTCCCTCTGTGGATGTTGTAATTAAAGTGGGGAGTCTGGCGGAGTTGTTATCCCTGCTATTAAGAGTGCAGATGGCTAACAGCCACATCACCAAGAGTTAGAGTTAGCCCTTTTAAAGTCTTTTTTCTTTTTCTTTTATGACCCACCCTCTATATTCCAAGCATAGGTATGGATGCAGTGAAGAATTTTCTCATTAAAAGTAATGGCTTATTCCCACACTCATTCCCGGTCTTGGAATGAGAAACCAGTTTCCTTAGACTTGAGGAATTGCCTATCTGTCGTAGCTTAATAGAGCTTTTGGACGAGAGTGTCTGGTAGGCAAATTTTATAACCAATCACTGCTCAAAGTGGATCCAACTGGAAGGGCTCCAGCTGGCAGCTCATGGTCTCTCTCCCAATTTTACTGTTAATGAATTATTATTTAACCCCCAAACACAGAACAGCGTGCTCCTATTGTCTTAGGGGAAGTGAGTGCTCGTGATGCTCTTGGCCTGGAAGTTAAGAATCTCCTTGCACTGGAGGGAGGTTGGCAGCCAGTGGGGGAGAAGAGGCCCAGGGTGGGTGGGAGGAGTAGTAGACATTGCTCAGCGACTGGTATGACCCTGGGTCTTTGCAATCTTGTGTACATTTTGACTCTATGGGGATGGGTGCTGGAAAAACAAATTGGCTTCTCTCCTCATCACGTTCTCTTGTTTTCCCACAGGGAGTGGGGCCGGCCAGCAGAAACAGCGGGCTGCACAACATCACCTTCCGATATGACAGTAAGTAACTGGCTTCACCACTGGAGAATGGAGGCGTTTCAGTGATCTGAAGCTTACAGAGCCGTGCTTCATCAAGGACCCCGCGGCTCCTGGGGTGGAGGAAGTTTCTGAACCTGTGCAGGTTAATCGATAGAGCTAAGGGGGCTAGTCTCAATGAAGCCACTCAAGTATTTGGGAGCTTAAATAGGTCAAGTGTCTGCTGTTTTGGGAGAAACTCTGTATGGAGACCTACCCTATGTCTCCAAGACATAACCATGTCCTTAAGAACAAAAGCAGATGCTTGGAGGGGCCCAGTAGGGGACAAGTGGATGACACTGCTCAAGTGGGGGCATGCTAGGGAATGGTAGGGACTGTGGCAAACTGGCAGCCCAGGTCTGGTCCGAAGGGAGCACTGGCTTCTCCATTCCAGCTCTGTGGGGCCTTGCTTCTGAGTGTAGCCAGCTGTGATTTGCAAGAAGAAAGAGAAATTGGCATTTTTTTGTTTGTTTGAACATTTTTTAATATTGGTATCTATTTAAATATGTTCACAAGCCCAGAGTGGGCCAAGTGAACGTGTGTCCCAGATTGGCCCACGGGTCTCCTGTTGGCCATCTCCACAGGCCTGGCTTCCACCTCCAGTGCCCTACCTGTCACTGGTGAGCCATGGCAGGCCACTGGACTTCTTTAAGCCTTAGTTCTCACGTGCTGTAAAATAAAGATTAGTTTCTTCCTGAGCATCGTATTGAGGCTTTAATGAGGTAATGCTTTTAACTGCTCAATTTAGTTGGCCTGTGATGTGCACTCAGTAATGGATACCTGCCAATATTAGAAGTCATTCCAACCGGAATGGGAATACAGCATCTTTTTGGCCCTTTCTCTCAAGGAAGTGTGGCTTTATCTGGCTGAATCATTTCCTCAGGGCAGGGTGGGGTGCTTTTTTTTTTTTTTTTTCTGATTAAGCATATAGAATTCCCCCTCAGCAGTGCTTTCATGCTAAGAAGGTAATTATATAGAATTGTGAGCATTTTAGCCTTATGAGCCATAATTTATACGTAAAAATGTTAACAAGAGGAAGCTTGACTCCTGTTCAGTAACTCCTGACATTCGATTCAGCTCTGGCAGAGGATTATGAATCCGTGTAAGTGATGGGTGTGGGTCACAGTGAGGCCTCTGAAATGATCACTGCGAAAGCAAGATTTTTGAGGTTGTGTATACAATCTAACAATTTTGAGATACAAATATGTGTGTCAAATTAATGCCCACAGTTGCTGACTTGAGTACTTCAAGTTAACCAATGAGGACTTACATTTGAAACAGATTTCATGTCAGTGGTGTGTGCATGCTCTCTGGGTAAATGTTACAATGCTAATGAAAGATTTGCAAGTCTGTGATACTTAATTCAGCTAAGTAAAGGCATGTGTTAGAGATCTCTCTTTGAGCTACAGAGTTAATTTCTAATATATGCTCTTGGTCTTGGCTGATCTTGTATTACATTCAAGAGTTCAGAATTTTCTGGTCAGCTGCAAACAAGTATTTGCAGCTCTAATTTAATATGGGGTTTTGTGAAAGAGGATCTGTACCTGTAAAACTTAAAAGTATCTTATTATTTTCTTCATGAGACTAAATATTTGGCCCATGTGCGTGATGCCTGTCTCTTCGTCATTATTTTCTTTCTTATTCTTCAGCATTTAATTAGAATTTAATTGGCAACTCAGATTGACTCCCAAGACATCTGAAGCTCAGTTGCATTTTGGCAGAATATCATTTGGGCATAATTTTTTGGTAACCAGAATCCAAAATGTAAGAGTTCCTAATAATTGGATCCAGGTTTGTGTAAAAAATTTATTCATTGTTTTCCGCTGAAAAGATATTTCTTTCTCCCTTCTGCGAGGAAGTTTCTGTTACTGCTCCGTTGACTGGTTACCAGTTCTGTTTGAAATAGCTAAAAACAAATTACCAAGTTTTTCACCAAAAGCACGAAACTACAAAATCTTATTTTTCTACTCCTTTGCCATTCAATGTTACAAAGAAAGAGAATGTCTTACCTTTAAGTCAAAAGTGAATTTCATAGGTCTCCATGTCTCCTTTCATGTTGCTTTTCTCGTTTCTCCTTCAGGCTCTGAGGGGGTAATGGCCTGAGTAGGTTGTAATACATTTTCTCCATTCTTAGACTTCATATTTGCATAATTATATTTACAGAAACCTGGTGAGTGCTAATTTTGGCATTAAGAATGAACAAAGGAAGAAAAAAACTGATTTGCTCTTATTTGTGCCTCTTTTTCTAAAAACTATTTAAGTCAGAGGTTTCAATAAGTGGAAATGTTTGAATTTGGGGCACCTGGGTGGCTCAGTTTGTTAAGGGTCTGACTTCTACTCAGGTCGTGATTTCAGGGTCCTGGGATTGAGTTTCAGGTCAGCCTCCCTGCTTGGTGGGGAACATGCTTGTCCTTCTCTCCCTCTGCCCCTCCCCTGTTCATGTTCTCTCTCTCTCAAATAAATAAATAAAATCTTACCAAAAAAAAGTTTGAATTTGACAAGTATGATGGGATCTTGTCTTTTTTTTTTTTTTTTTTTTTTTAATGTTGGGAATCTAGTTTCAGCCAGGATTTTTTGCAGGATGACTACCTCAGATTCAGAACTTACTATAGTAATCACCTCTGTGTTGAGGCTAGAATGGCAAGAGCCATGCATGAGTCATCCGAGGCTGCTTTCTGTGCTGACCCAAGGCTGGTCAGCAGTGGAATCCAAAACCACCCAGCTGGTCTCTTAGCTGCAAAATGTTTCCTCATTTGTACACTGTGGGTGTTAAACTAGATGTTTAAAGAAAAATTTTTTTCTCTCCTAAAATTCTCTTCTGCACCCAGAGAACACATGTTAAATGCTTTGGGAGTCAATTTTCATTAGAAGTAGAATTTGGTTTTATTAATTATTAACATCTCTTCAGAAGAAGTAATACTGAAGTGTAGAGGTGGCTGCTTTTTAAGCAGATGGAGTTTATGGAACAGGTCCACCTAGAGCAGGTAGGCAAGATGGCGGGGCCCCAGGCAGTGTGGGAGCTGGGAGTTGCCAGAGTGGGAGGGGGTGCATTGTAGTGCATGTGTGGTGAACTGCAGTAAGAAATTTAAAAAGGAGGAATATTATGTGCACATTGGAAGGCTTGGAAGGATATTTTTTAGAAGCTGGTAGTAGTTACCTCTGTATGGTGGGAGGGCATGGCTGACTTCTACATTTTTCTTACGTTCTTATATTATTTTCAAATAGCCAGGGAATGTTTTTAGTCATAAAAGTGGGAAATGCGGGGGCGCCTGGGTGGCTCAGTCAGTTGAGCATCTGCCTTCAGCTCAGGTCATGAGGGCTCTCTGCTCAGCGGGGAGTCTGCTTCTCCCTCTCCCTTTGCCTCCCCCCTCCACCCCTCATACTCTCTCTCTCTCACACTCTCTCTCTCAAATAAACAAATAAAATCTTTTTTTTAAAATGGGAAGTGTAAAAAAAAAAAAAATGGGAAGTGTAAGGGTGCCTGAGTGGCTCAGTGGGTTAAGCCATTGCCTTAGACTCAGGTCATGGTCTCAGGGTCCTGGGATCGAGCCCTGCATGGAGCTCTCTGCTCAGCAGGGAGCCTGCTTCCCGCTCTCTCTCTCTCTGCCTGCCTCTCTGCCTACTTGTATTTCTCTGTCAAATAAATAAATAAAATCTTAAAAAAAAAAAAAAAAAGGGAAGTGTATGGTGTGGTGTACAGCAGGGGCAGAGGGAGCGGAGCAGATTCACTGAGCCTAGAAAATACCCCTGACAGCTTCACCTCAAAGTAAAACACCCTGACTTTAGAGGCATCATGAGTCGGTTTGGACATTTGATGGAACTGAGGACTTTTGGAGCAGGTACCAACGAGAGTTTTCCATTTTAATCATTGAGAAGGAAATGGAGATGAAGCAGTGTAAGAATCACGAGTTGGTATTTGGCAGGGATGGCTGGTGGTTCTCCCTGCATGAGTGGCCACAACAGCCCTCGGCCATTCACTAGAGTCTCATTCTGAGTCTGGTTGGAAGCTTCTGGGACCTTTTTAGGATCCTGTAGACTTTGAAGGTTTCTTTAGCAATACCAGGTATCACAGCTGCCCCCATGGTCGTGGCTGCGTTGACTGCTGGCAGTAGCTAATGTCCTCACACAGTACCAGAGAGTTGGTCTTCATTGTTTGAGCAACGTGGAGCTCTTTGAATTTGGTGGGCATTGTGGGTATCTTTGCTAACACATGGTGTCCGGGAACAGAAGTTTTACCTTTGAGATGCTATTAACGTTGAAGGTACCTTTGACGGTACCTTTGCTCGTCAGGAAGTCAGTTGGTCCCTTTTGTAGGTACTAATTGGATTGTTTAACTGTCTTGCTGTGAGCCACGTCCCCGTGAATCTCATCCTCGTCCTGCTTCTTTTTCCTGCTCACCTTGCCTCCAGGTTTCTTCTAAAAGCAGTCCCCAGACTGTTTAGTCATTTGTTTTGTTTCAGATCACTCTCTCATGCGGCAAACAGATTGAATCAATGTACATAAGGATTGGTTTAGGTAAAGTGTCATAATAGTAAAAAAGTCAATGCCAGGGGCGCCTGGGTAGCTCAGTGGGTTAAAGCCTCTGCCTTCGGCTCAGGTCATGATCTCAGGGTCCTGGGATTGAGCCCCGCATTGGGCTCTGTGCTCAGCAGGGAGCCTGCTTCTCCCTCTGTCTCTGCCTGCCTCTGCCTACTTGTGATCTCTGTCATATAAATAAATAAAATCTTTAAAAAAAAAAAAAGTCAATGCCAGATACATAGTCAAATTGTATATGTGTGAACAGATACAGTCACACTGTATGTGATCCTCCCCATGCTGTCCTAGAATTTCACTCAAAGGGTGGTTAACGGGGTTGGTACTAAACCCACAATAGCATATTACAGTTCTCCGAATAGTCAAACTTTGATGTCCTCTCTGGGCTTTTGCAGCGCTCGTCTTTAGACAGAATGGATTTGGCCACCTCCAGATGGCTCTGTGTAATTTGAGATGACCATGGACCTCAAAAAATAAATGTTTTAATCTAACTGTTCTTTGATCTCCCAATGCTCCAGATTGCACCACTTACTTGAATCCGGTGGGGAAGCACGTAATTGCTGATGCCCAGAACATCACCATCAGTCAGTACGCTTGCCACGACCAAGTGGCAGTCACCATTCTTTGGTCCCCGGGGGCTCTCGGTAAGTGGTCAGATGGAGTCCGCCACGTGGCCGGTGTGGGTGGTCACCAGTGCAGGGGTCCCAGTGTGACAGCCTCCAGGAGCCGGGCAGGTCTTGAACTAAGTGTAGCTTAGGTGTGCTTGGGCCCAGATACACTACCTGCTTTGTTGCCAATACTTGCTAGACATGCACGGGGCTCGATGCTGGGCCTCGCGGCTCATCTTTTATTCACTTGGCTGTTACTGAGAGAGATGTAGGTTTGCAAAATGATAGTGTGTGGTGATGAATCACATTGACCCCTTGGCCTCTGGGTCTCAGCAGTAGTCGGGGGACAGGTGACCTGTCCAAGAATGTAATGGCCTCAGCATCCAGCATCAGCCATCTCTGTGCCCACATGGATATCCAGGCAATGGCACATGTTGTGAGTTTTCAGAAATATCCAGTTTTCATAAAACCCCCTGATATCATTTTCTTAAAGATTTTTATTTATTTATTTGAGAGAGAGAGAGAGAGAGAGAGAGCATGTGCAGGGAGAGGGGCAGAGGGAGACACAGACTCTCCGCAGAGCAGGGAGCCTGATGTGGGACTCGATCCCAGGACTCTGGGATCATGACCCGAGCAGAAGGGAGATGTTTAACTGAGTGAGCTACCCAGGCGCCCCCATAAAATCACTTTATTTGTTTAAACCATGTAGGCTGAAAAAAAACCAAAATGAAGAAACAGAGAAAAGCAAACCCACATTGTCTGGCCAGATTCCGGTTAGGGCAGAGTCTGCTTATCCCCTTTAACAAGCTGATGATACACCAGAGAGGATGCGCTAACTGGGCGTAGGACATGGGCAGGGCTTATTTGTTCAGATGGGCCTGGGTGCGAACCCAGATTCTACTTCTTACAAGAGGCCTCTAACCCTTGCTGAGCCCTGCTTTGCCATTTGTAATGTGCAGATGATTGCCTCTTGGTTTGTTGTAAGATTTCCAGACACACACACATGCAGTGTATTTCTAGAAAGAGCTTTTTTCTTTTTTTAAAAGTTTTTATTTAAGTAATCTCTACACCCAGTGTGCAGCTTGAACTCACAACCCTGAGATCAGGGCTTGCATGCTCCACTGACTGGGCCAGCTGGCTGCCCCTAGAAAGAGGTCTTAAAAAAATAGTAGCTGTTGGGGCACCTGCATCACCTAGTCTGTGGAACATGTGACTCTTGATCTTGGGGTTGTAGGTTCAAGCCCCACATCGAGCATAGAGATTACTTTAAAAGAAAATCTTTAAGAAAAAAACAAAATGGGGGGGGGGAGTGGCTACTGTTATCATCATCAGAACCTGGTCCTTGGGGCGCCTGGGTGGCTTAGTTGTTAGGCATCTGTCTTTGGCTCAGGTCATGATTCCGGGGTCCTGGGATCGAGCCCTGCATTGGGCTCCCTGCTTGGTGGGGAGCCTGCCTCTCCCTCTCCCTCTCCCACTTCCCCTGCTTGTGTTCCCTCTCTCGCTGTGTCTCTCTCTGTCAAATAAATAAGTCAAATCCAAAAAAAGAAAAAAGTACCTGGTCCTCAATCCTATTCCTTTGACATTGCCACTGAATCTTAGAATTAAAACAACAACAACAACAAAAACTGGCTAAGGGAAAAGTACAATAAAAGCCTGGATTTCTTCATCTGAGCAGGATAAATCTCAGAAAAATCCGACTGTAGGAGAGGTGAGTGCAGAGCGAGGGATGATAGATCAGACCCACGGGCCTGACTCACTTATCCATGTAAATACCGCTGGGTCTGAACGCAGCGGGTTCTCCAAAAATAACATTATCTTAACATTTAAAGATAAAAACATTCTCTGTGGATAAACGGGAAGTGGTCACTCCATGTAGGGCTGTACAGCAGAGGGGCTGGCCTGACAAATTGCAGGCTCCTTTAGAATGAAAGGAAGGGACTCAAGCATGTGGTTGGAAAACTAACAGGTGGATTGGTGAGGGCAGAATGTGGTGCTTTTCAAGCACAGTGATTTGTGGGTGGACAGGTTCTGCTTCTCTGAGGTTCTTTGAAGTCCTATCAAGGAAACTTGCTGGGAGACGGAGAAGCATTCGGGGTAAGAGCACCAGCTTAGAGCCAGACACTGGCAGGGTTCGAGTCCCACATCTGCTATTTAATTCCTGTGTGATCCTGGGCAAGTCCTTCAGGGTCTCAATAGCTGTTTCCTCATCTGTCAAATGGGGATAACACCTTCCTTCCATGGATGTTAGGAGGATTTGTGGGTTTTAAATGATGGAGAGGAGCAAATAATCTTGGGCTGTGGGTTGGCAGGCTTTTATCCTCCCAGGAAGCTTTGTACTTGAAATGCAACGTGGCAGTCCATACCAGCATATTTTACACTGTGACCCCTGAAAATGTGAAGCTCTCATTGTGCCCCCTTTGCCCTACTCACCGGAAAATATATGTTCTTCATCAAATAATTATAGGAGGGGAGAACCTGTTCAAAAAAGATTTCCCTGTCCCTTGCCATCAGTAATTGTCCCACCTGGTTAATTGCATCCTATGTCATTACTTTTGCCTTGTGAGGGGGAAGGGTTGAAATTGTCTCCTTGTGGAGTGTTCAGAAAGAATGCGAAATCGATACCGCGCCAACTGAGGCCGGCTTCGGGGATCTCCAGCTGCGGTTGGACCGCTGCAGTTTCCATGGGATGCAGAGTGCTGGGGCTGGCTCTTGTGATCAGCAGAGCTAATCCTCAGGTGGCAGGAGGCTGGTCCGACGCCTTTCAGCAGCACAGTGGGCGTCTCAGGCCTCTGAGGGCTGTATGAAGAGCACACACTGGGCAGCCCTTGGGTGTCTGCCTTTCAGGCCTGATTAGAGCAAGAACTGCTTTGTAAATCACATAGGCATTCTAAACTATTTAATCTCAAGCCTAGGAACCCCTTGGGTGCAGACACACACTTTGTTGGGAATTTTGTGCGTGACTCAGTGAACCATGCCAGCAAATACAGGACAAAAACTTAAAGCAGAAACATGGTTTGGGGGGAGTCGGGTCCTAGTCAGCACTGGGAATTATCATCAGCCGAATACACCCCATCTGATGACCTAGAAATTATGTATTCCACGGTAGGCTTTTAGGTTGAATTGTGACTTGAGCCTAAGTGTTCGAACCCTGATGTCACAGAGGCAATGGGCATTTGTGAAATGGCTGGCTGCAGTAGAGCTAATTAATTTTCTCTGAAATCACCTGGCCTGTCCCAGAGGAATGCAGGGCACGTGGTTTTCCTCCCTTAAAGCCCGGATATTCGGGCCGAAGTTAGAATTCCTTTAACTCTGTTGTGTAGGCGGAAAGGAAGGCAATCTGGGAGGCAGGAAAAGTGTGTTCAAAGGTAATTAGGTCCGCTTTTCATAAAAGAATTCTGCTTTGCTTAGGCATCGAATTCCTAAAAGGATTTCGAGTAATACTGGAGGAGCTGAAGTCGGAGGGAAGACGGTGCCAACAACTGATTCTAAAGGACCCAAAGCAGCTCAACAGTAGCTTCAAAAGAACCGTAAGTCACACGCACAGAATGTGCTCCTGAAGACACGCCATTGTTCTGGGGGTCACGCCATGGTCTGCTTGAACGTCTGTGAAACTGGAGAAGGAGGGGCTCTGGGGTCCACCCCTCCTGCCAAGGTGGGAGAGAAATAGCTCGGCAACACTTCAAGCCTGCTCCACGCCCAGAGAATCCCTCCAGCACACACCTCTCAGGTTACACGTCCTGGAAGGTGGGTTTGTGCTCCCGAGAGGGTGTGAGCTCTTCCCCACCAGCTCTGAGGTTCCACGTTAACCAGCCGTGGCTTCCCTGCCAGAGAACAGGCAGCACTGCCGATCTTTTATTCCTATTAAATGTGGTCCTGAAAACAGACCCCCCGGGTCTGGAAGAGTGTGTGGGTGACCGTCAGGGAGGCCTGAAGGTCTGGTGTGTAGATGGAGGGTTGGGTGATTTCTTCATGATATCGTGTCTGTTTTTATTCCCTTTTAGGGAATGGAATCTCAACCTTTCCTGAATATGAAATTTGAAACGGATTACTTTGTGAAGATCGTCCCTTTTCCTTCCATTAAAAATGAAAGCAATTACCACCCTTTCTTCTTTAGAACCCGTGGTAAGTATGGCCTGCCTGCTGGGTTCCCATCATGAGACTGCTTCTGACCCCAATGACTTTTTGGGCCGATATATTGAAGAGCCCACCAAATACTAGTGTGAAACCAGCATGGTGAGGACAAAAGCATCCAGAAAAAGTATCCAGAAAAGCAATTCTTAGAAGTTCACCTGACCTGAGATGCCCATTGCCAGCTGGTTCAAGAATAGACATGATGCTTGATTTTTTTTTTTTTTGGAGTGTGTGGGGGTGCGCAGCTGCTATAAGACAACCATAAATTAGGGGGGAAAGGACAAAAAAGTAGCGGTTGATTTTGGGGATGAAGAGTAGAGCATGAAATAATTCCATCTTTTTTTTACCTGTTATCAGGAAAATGGCTTCTGTCATTGTCTGTTTTCAGGATTACATTAAGACAGTCAAATCAGTAACCCTGAGATTGCCTCTTTCTAGAAAGTTTGTTTAACATCTATGTATCAGGCCCAGTTCTAAATGCTTTCTTTTTTTTTTTTTTTTAAGGTTTTTATTTATTTATTTGACAGAAAGAGATCACAAGTAGGCAGAGAGGCAGGCAGAGAGAGAGAGGAGGAGGCAGGCTCCCTGCTGAGCAGAGAGCCCAATGCGGGGCTCCATCCCAGGACCCTGAGATCATGACCCGAGCCGAAGGCAGAGGCTCTAACCCACTGAGCCACCCAGGCGCCCCTCTAAATCCTTTCTAAACGCTGACTCAGTTTACCCCCATCCCGACCCTTCAGAGAATTTAATCCTCCCATCTCCACTTATTAGATGTGGAATTACACACCCAGACGTTAAAGAGCCTCTGGCCGGAGCTGGGATTCAAACCCAGAAGTCTGACTCTCAAGTCCACGCTCTACAGCCAACTGTGCCGCCTTCCCTTTGCCATCTGTTCTGCACACGGTGTGGTGTGTCTTTCCTCAGCCTGAATCTCCGCTTTCGGATTCGGTGCCCAGGCATCCCAAAACCTGCAGCTGTGCCCTCTTGCCCTGCTGGTTGGCCTTTCTTGTCTGGCGTTCCAGGCCCCCCGACGGTCCGCTGGCAGTCCAGTGTGACAGCCCTTCCTGCATCCTTATTGCCGTCCTCCCACTCTAGGATGTTTTTGTTCTCAACTCCGGAACTCATACTCTGGTTGTTTTCTTTTTGCCTTCCTTTTCTTCCTTCCTTCCTTCTTTTTTAACTGTAATTTCTGTGCAGCAAAGTTATTTTATAACAGTTGGTCTCATTTTCTTAATTAAAATAGGATTCCATAGGGCAAAGACTATGTGCATGTTACATCTCAATGCCTGGCATATATAACCAATTAGAGGATTCGGACGCATTTATGAAAAGCTCGCTTTGATCAGAATTAACATAGTTTAAGGTTAATTTTTCCCGTCGGAATCAACATGTCTATTTGGAGGTGAGGCAGAGGCAGAAGAAGGAATTTTTTCACCGTTTCAGTGCCCTGGGATCTGGAGGCTGCCTTGCTTTTCTTGGCGTTGTGTGGGCATTCGCTGGAGGGTTCTCCCTGGGTGAGCAGCATGGCAACCTGGACCAGCTCTTGGGCCTCTCTTACTGTATTAGCGTCACATTTAAGCCCTGCTTCCAAGCCCTATTGGTTTGGTGCTACTACCTGGTAGATGTCTCGATGCCATTTTTAGACTCCATCAGAGCATTTGCTAGTGAAGGTCACAGCCATCCCAGGACAGTTACCAGCATCACTCCAGAGTTCTGTTGTGCCTAAACCCCCAGACAGAGGAGCAGGGGCTGGCTTTATTTCTGTTCGCAGCTAAACCAGAGTCTGTGGCAGCAGCCTGAACACAGTCCTCCTGCCCTTGGCTGCTGACCTTGAAACTCTGTCATGCTCGACTAGCTTCAAGAGTCTGGGTGACTTGACACTGTTTCCATTTATTTGGCATAAAATGAAGTGCGTTCATATTTTTATGTTGTCTAATTTAAATTTTCATGAGCTATAACTACACTATACTGAAAATCCTTGCTGAATTGGCATATCTTATACTTTTCCCCACACTACCCTGCACCGTGTATTTGTATTTTATTGAACATCCAACATTTTTATTTTATCTTATGTATTTTATTTCCTCATCCAGAAGGATGAGGAAAATGTCAAACTGTGGAAACTAAAACTTTGCGTCTTTCTTCATAGCCTGCGACCTGTTGCTGCAGCCGGACAACCTGGCCTGTAAGCCGTGTAAGTAGCTGGTCCCGTCCGTCAGGTCCTGCCCACACGGCGGCATCGGGGGGGCCCCTGGGTGCTCACTCTGGTCCTTCCTCCTCCCAGTCTGGAAGCCCCGGAACCTGAACATCACTCAGCACGGTTTGGACATGCAGGTGTCCTTTGATCCCGCACCACACACCTTTGGCTTCCGTTTCTTCTATCTTCACTATAAGCTCAAGCATGAAGGGCCTTTCAGGAGAAAGACCTGTAAACAGGTGAGCTGCTGCTGTGCGTACATTCAGGAACACTGCATTTATTTATTTATTTTTAAAAGATTTTTTTTTTTTTGGTGGGGGGGCGGGTGCCTGGCTGCTCAGTTGGTTAAGCCTCTGCCTTCAGCTCAGGCCATGACCTTGGAGTCCCATGATCAAGTCCTTCATCGGGCTCCCCCCTCCCATGCTCTCTCTCTCTCTCTCTCATTGTTTTTATTTTTATTCTCTTTATTTTTTAAAAAGATTTTATTTATTTATTTGAGAGAGAGAGCACAGAGGGAGAGAGAGAAGCAGACTCCCTGCTGAGCAGAGAGACTGATGCAGGGACTCAATCCCAGGACCCCTAGATCATGACCAGAGCCAAAGGCAGACGCTTGACCAGAGCCAAAGGTAAACGCTTAACCAACTGAGCCACCCAGGTGCCCCTAATACATGTTTTAAAGTGACCCCTGTGCCCCTGGAATTTGGATGGTTCAACATGAACATGAGGCTTTATTTCAGCAATTGGTAGATAATCCAGAATGTTAGGTCTCAGGGACAACACTCACTCTCCAGTTATCTACACACCTGCTATCCCACGGGGGATGAAGCCTGGGAAAGGTATTACCAAGGAACCAGAAGAATTAAGTATTTCTAGTTCATTCTGCTCTATTTTATTTTATTTTATTTTATTTTTTTAAGATTTTATTGATCCACCTGACAGAGATCACAAGTAGGCAGAGAGGCAGGCAGAGAGAGAGGGGGAAGCAGGCTCCCCGCCAAGCAGAGAGCCTGATGTGGGGCTCGATCCCAGGACCCTGGGATCATGACCTGAGCCAAAGGCAGAGGCTTTAACCCACTGAGCCACCCAGGCGCCCCTTTATTTTATTTTTAAAAGATTTTACTTATTTATTTGAGAGAGAGTGAGAGAGAGCATGAGAGGGGAGAAGATCAGAGGGAGAAGCAGACTCCCCATGGAGCTGGGAGCTCGATCTCGGGATTGTGACCTGAGCCAAAGGCAGTCGCCCAACCAACTGAGCCACCCAGGCGTCCCCATTCTGCTCTTTTAAACATTAATTGGGTGCTCACTGTGTGCCAGTCGCCATGTTTTATGCTGATTGAATCCTTACAACTCTATGCAACAGAGGCTGCTGTCACCCCACTCTACAGATGGGCGACCCAAGGCTCAGTGAGGTCACCTGGCTCGCTCAAAGTCACACTGCTAGTCAGTAGAAAATCACATCTTGGAGCCAAGGCACTAAGATTTCAGGGGCTTACTGTGATTGTACACATAGACCAAAGTTAAGTAGAAATTCAACAACCAAGTTCTTAAACTGAGGGCTGTCAGCAAGAGGGGTAAATGTCTCGTGGAAGACCACAGGACCAGCCTCTAGTAAGCACCAAGAGAGGTTTTTGGTCATGGTAGCAGAACCTAGCACCTTCCTAGATGTGCTTCTGTTCTGTTGAGTTTTGCTTTCCTGCGGGCTCTCACCTCTGTCCTTGACCTCCCGTCGAAATTACAGCGTATAAAATATGCACAAACATGGGCAGGTAATTTCTTTCTTCACCCTTTCAATAAGTAAAGGGTATGCTAACTAGGTTCCTTGTCTGCAAATGAAATCGTCCTACTGAGGGCCCCACTAAGTATAGACTATGATGGGGGTCCTGCGCTCTCCTGGGCTTTCCTATCAGAGTGAAGGTCAAATCCTGTGTAGCAGATAAACAGGGTTGCTTACTGATCTAATTGTATTCTGAACATGGTAAAGACAGGTGGCAAGTGTCCCTCAGCTCTGGGGGAAAAGAGAGGTCCAGATGACCCTCATCTAAGAAGAGAGTTTTTAAAGGGTTGGTGTGGTTTCTTTGCAGGAGCAAAATACAGAGACAACCAGCTGCCTCCTTCAAAACGTTTCTCCTGGGGATTATATAATTGAGGTATGTATAACTCAAGAAAGCCCTACTATTAATGCTACAGAGTGAATCTAGTTCATGAAGAATTCCGACTGTTTACAACACCAAAATTTCAAGCCATTGAAGGTAATGCATAGTTGTATTTTTATATAGTCCTTAACATGCTTTTTAGAAAGTTTGTATGTAATCAGTCTTTGATGTTTCTCATTCAGCATTTAAAATAGTTCATATAAATATTTTTATGAAACCATATAGTCCACATAACCATGATTTAGAATTTCTATACAGTATTCCTTTGTAGGGGAGGAAGAAATTCCTTCTTTCCTCCCTGGGTTCTTCCAGCTGGTTTAGGAATTAAATTGACGTGAGACAGATTAAGGGGAGAAAAAAACCAGAGTCTTACTCAGTGCGCACAGAGGCCCCAAAGTGAAATTGAAACCCAAGGAAATGACAAAGGCAGGCACAGTTGTTATGCTTTTTGGACAAAGAGATGATAAATTTGTGAAGAATTGACAGGATAAAGAAAATAGGTGTTTGGGAGCTTTAATTAGGAAAGGGTTCTAAGTGGAATTTAGGCTGAGTTAATAAATTAGACAAAAAAAGTAACAAGGTTTGTTTTTACAGTTCTCTTGACTTTAAAGTCCCTATCTTAGAAAATTAAGGATGTCATTTTTACTTTATAGGGAAGTGAGGGTATTTGTCATATGGGAGATCTATTTTCTGCTTTCCAGGGGGACAGAGGTATGGTCTGAGGGTCCTTGTACTACTTCTTTCACCAGTAGTTACATTACAAAATATTTATTAGTAGGCCATTGTGTTACCTACTGTGGCAACCTGCTCTGGGCCCCTACTACAAAAATCTCTTTTTTAAAATTTAAATTTAAAAACTTTTATTTATTTATTTTTTAAAGATTTTACTTATTTATATGTCAGCAAGAGAGAGAGGCAGTCATAGGGCAATGCAGGCTCCCCATTGAGCAAAGAGCCTGACTTGGGACTTGACCCCAGGACCCTGGGATCATGGCCTGAGCCAAAGGCAGGCGTTTCACCGACTGAGCCACCCAGGTGTCCCTAAAAACTGCTAGTTAAACAGAAAGGAAAAGTTCTGCCCATTATATCTGCCTATACTTCTTTCTGCTGACATTTTCAATATCCATATACATGAAATTCTAAAATACCACTGAAAAAAGCAAGCAAATGATAGTATTTTTCCTCTTTTATTTTAGATTCCTTTTCCAGTATCAAACATACCACAAAAATAGGAATAAAAGAAAAATAGAAAAGGAAATGAAAAATTTGTTCACAGCCCTGCTATTTAGAGACAGTCACCATGTCTTAACGTTTTGGGAGACACACGTGTTGTATGACTCGGTAGTAGTTTGTGGTTTTGAACAGACACACCTGCTGAAAGCATTAATGGTGGCCCCGTAAAATGAGCGATAGGATGCCATTATAATGGAGGATTGTTAGAACATGGAACTCACTAGCTGAGCTCACCAATGAATGAACAATGTTTGATTCATGGAAGGTGATGAAGTTGAGAGTTTTGAGTTGGTAAAGCAGAGATTTATCTGATTTAATGTCTAGTCTCAGCTCGTAAACGATCCACGGCATCAGCTCACCGTCCTCCTGCCCCCACACTGTCCACGGATGGAAAAATGAATGAAATCTGTTGAGATGTTATCACTTCAAAAAAATAATGATACAACATCCTCTGTTTTGCAGCTGGTGGATGACACTAATACAACAAGGAAAGTGATGCATTATGCCTTAAAGCCAGGTATGATTTTTTTTTTTTTTCTGCGTGAAATGTTGGCTCTGGAATGCAGTAGACCATGCTATTTGATACTTTCTGTACTTCATGGTTTAGAAAATCAAAACACAGCATTTGGGTTCCTCTCTCTCTCTTTTTTTTTTTTTTTTTAAAGATTTTATTTATTTATTTGACAGAGAGAGAGAGATCACAAGTAGGCAGAGAAGCAGGCAGAGAGAGAGGGGGAAGCAGGCTCCCTGCAGGGAGCCCGAAGCGGCGCTCGATCCCTGGACCCCGAGATCATGACCTGAGCTGAAGGCAGAGGCTTAACCCACTGAGCCACCCAGGCACCCGAGTTCCTCTCTTTTAAAAGATGTCCCCTCAGGGGCACCTGGGTGGCTTGGTTGGTTGAGTGACTGAGTCTTGACTTTGGCTCCAGTCACGATCTCAGGGTCGTGAGATCAAGCCCTGTGTCAGGGTCTGTGCTGAGCCCAGGGATTCTACTTAACATTCACTCTCTCCCTCTCCCCCTACCCACCTCACTCTTCCAAAAATAAATTAATAAATAAAAATGTTCCATCAAAGCAACTTTCCTTTCATCCTAATGTTGATGCCTGGAAGATGGAGGCCAGTGTGGTTGGTGTGTATGTGTGGGTATGTGTGTCTATGTGTAGCTGGGACCAAACAGTCACTTGCCCTTGGAAGAAAAGTGGTGGGAGGTGAGGTTTCCCAGGGCAAAATTCTCACAAATATTTACTGTCCCAGTGACTCTAACTGTTGAATAATATTTTACATATTCTTTAAAAGGAATCCTTTCATACTCATAATAATCATAACTAACATAATAATCATAACTAACATAATAATCATAACATAAGAATCATAATCATAATAACTAGAGAAAGTGGTCAGGGCTCCCAGAACCTGTTACACTGCTTATGTTTAAAAAGAGGAAAAGAGGGGTGCCTGGCTGTCTCAGTCGGTAGAGTGTGGGACACTTGACCTTGGCGTTGTGAATTCAAGCCCCACATTGGATGTAGAGATTCCTTACAAATAAACTCTTTAAAAACAAAAAAAGGGAAAAAAAAAAAGAATTCTCTTTGAACTTGTGCTGCTTAAGTTTCAAGCCTTGTCTTTGACATTTCCCAGCACATTCCCCATGGGCTGGGCCCATCAGGGCTGTTGCCATCACTGTGCCGCTGGTTGTCATCTCGGCATTTGCGACCCTCTTCACCGTGATGTGCCGCAAGAAACAACAAGGTATCTTTTTGCGTGGTGTGTTCCCCCCAGGTAGGCAGGACATCAGCTAACGGGGGACCCTGGGAGTCCTCGGGCCCTTGGTACTACTGTACCCCACTGTGCCCCCCAACCAAATGGGTATCTGGGAGGCCATGTGGGTTCTGTAGTTCCTAGCATTAAGATACTTGACTTTTAACCGCAGGAGCTATGAACATGAGGCCATAATTCTGTTCCCAAACTCAGGGTAGTAAATTCAAGAACATAAATGAAGCCTGAAAGTATGAGCGAGGGGAGAGGCAGGTGTCGGGAGCGAACTTTTTAGGGAGCTTGGAAATGTTTTCTATCTTGATCTGAGTGATGATTGCACAGGTATCTACTTAGATTAAATCTTACCGAGACTACTCTTAAGATTTATGCACTTTACCTTTGTAGGTTATACCTCAATAAAAGGGTTTTCTTTTGGTTTTGCTTTTTTTTTTTTTTTTTTTTAAAGAAGGTCAGCTCTGTTAGTGCTTAATTGGGCTGGTAGGTACACTTGATTGTAAGACCTGCTTCTGGGTGCTCTCTGCTCACCAGAGTGGTCCTGACAGTTTTCTCGGCTTACCCAAGGTCATTTTCAGGTGAACAACCCATTTTGGCCATTTGTTGCTCCACTGGAGAGATCAGCTGTCCTGTTTCCAGTGGGGACCCCAGGGACTGGGGACTAGGTGTATCAACTATTGTTTCTTGAAGATGGCATTAAGTCCCTGAGTCTTAGGGCACAGGACAAAGCATTGCTTGTAGGCATCAACCCTATCTTCTTTTCCAATTTAGAAAATATATATTCACATTTAGATGAAGAGAGTTCTGAGTCGTCCTCGTACACCACGGTGCTCCCCAGGGAGAGGCTCCGGCCACGGCCCAAGGTCTTCCTCTGCTATTCCAGCAAAGATGGCCAGAACCACATGAATGTTGTCCGGTGTTTTGCCTACTTCCTCCAGGACTTCTGTGGCTGTGAGGTGAGGAATCAGAAGTCTCTTCTCTTCCCCCTGGGGAAGGACATGTGCTCCCTGTGCTCTCCACGCTCTCTCCCTCCCTCCAGGCTTCCTTGGGCAACATTTGCCCTCCCCCAGTGCCTAGCCCCCTTCAAATTGGGGTCAGCCTCACACTCCTCCATCAGTCTGTCCTGCCCATCACCAGCACTAAATGTTCCCGAACCTTTAGTCCTAACCCTTCTCAGAAGCCTCTTGTGGCACCTACCTGGCGGGAAGTTTGATAAACATCAAGAAGACCGTGCAGTTGCCTGGAGGGGTATGGCCCATGCCCTGGGAACACGCAAAAGGACTGGGGGGAGGTGGTCACTCAAGACATCTTGGTGAGCCTTGACGGGTCAGAGAGAGGATGGAAGATCAAGCAGGGGGTTTAGACAATACTTTGGAGGAGTTTTGCTAAGAAAGGAAAACAATAATGTATCAAGGACTCAAATGGTCTGCCTCGGTTTCTTGCCTGTTCTTGAGTTGAACTATAAATATGTAGCTTTTCTATGTCATAGGGCTAATTTTAGAGTGAAGTTTGAAGCTCTCATGGAAGGCACACTCTATTTCTTACCAATGCAAGAACTGTACAATGGCTGTGTAATGAAAGTTACTGGTGCTTTGATACTGCCTGCTGGTGGGTTTCTCAGTCTCTCCATGTGCCAAGGCTGCCCCCTAGTGTCTATAACGCCTATTTACAAGACTGACGCGTGAATCTGGGGAGATGGGCAGACCCCAGCCGGTACTGAAAAACCAACTGGAACCTCTGGTTGGTGCCACACGGTCTTCAGACGACCCATGTGCTCTGCTTTGTAATTAACTAGCTTCGGGGATGGGGAACACGTCTTCCAATTGTGAGTGTAGTACTTACTGTAGAAATTTTGGAAACTGGAAAAAATGACCAGAAAAAATGACCTGTAATCTCACCCTGGAGGAAGAGGATCCACAGTTAATATTTGGTGTGTTTCCTTCCCAGTTTTTTCTACATAGATGAACTCATGCATATGGTTTTGCATATAGGGGGTATTAGAATGATTTTTCTGTCTTTTCATTTAATAATTCTTTACACTATTGGAAGTTCTATGTAAACTGCAATTTTATTTTATTATTTTTTAAAGTTTTTATTTAAAACCCGTCAGTTAACATACAGCGTAATAGTAGTTCAGGTGTACAGTATAGTGATTCAGCCCTTCTATACAACACCCAGGGCTCATCTTGACCAGTGCCCTCCTTAATCCCCACCCCTATTTCACTCCTCCCCCATCCACCTCCCGTCTGGTAACCATCAGTTGGTTCTCTGGAGTTAAGAGTCAGTTTCTTGGTTTGCCTCTCCCTTTTATCCCCCTAGGATGGTTTTTGTTTCTTAAATTCCACACATGAGTGAAGCCGTATGGTATTTGTCTTTTTCTGACTGACTTATTTTGCCTAGCACAATACTCTTTAGCTCTATCCATGTCATTGCAAATGGCAAGATTTCATTCTTTAGAGCTGAATAATATTCCGTTGTAGCTATATACACACCACATCTTTATCCCTTCATCAGTCAGTGGACATCTGGGCTCTTCCCATAATCTGGCTATTGTTGATAATGCTGTTATAGACACCAGGGTGTGTATATCCCTTCCGATGTGTATTTTTGTATTCTTTGGGTAAATAACCTAGTAGTGCAATTACTGGATTGTAGGGTAGTTCTGTTTTTAACTTTCTGAGGAAGCTCCATACTGCTTTCCAGAGTGGCTTCACCATTCACTTTTAAAGAGCCAATTTTATTTTATTTTATTTTATTTTAAAGATTTTTATTTATTTATTTGACAGACAGAGATCACAAGTAGGCAGAGGCCGGCAGAGAGACAGAGGAAGGGAAGCAGGCTCCCTGCTGAGCAGAGAGCCTGATGCGGGGCTTGATCCCAGGACCCTGGGATCATGACCTGAGCCGAAGGCAGAGTCTTTAACTCACTGAGCCACCCAGGAGCCCCAAGAGCCAATTTTAAATAGTGATCCATAATATCATTTCACTATAATTGAGTTATTTCATATTGCTAAAGAGGTCACTAGTTCAATTTTACCTCATTTTTGATGACTTTCCAGAACTGGAAGCCTGGAAGTGGAATGGCTGGGTCAAAGATGGTAACATTTTAAAAATGCTTGGTATATACTCCCAGTTAGCTTTTAGAATGTATAATGCTAGTGAGAGTTAAGGCAATTAATTAATTAATTAAGTCAATTCAGGATTATTTTCAGCCGAGTGGGTGGATCTTGGGGACTGCCTTCCTTAGAGCCAAAGAGGAAGACAAAGTCATTTCAGAACCCCCTTCCCCATAAGAGACTGTGGCTCCTGTTCAGGCATAGCCACTGAGAATTCGTTTCTGGACTACAGAAGGAAAGAGGCGCTAAAACTGCCAATAGACATTTTCAGCAGAATCAGATGAAAATGGTCTGAGAAGGTGAAGCCCTCTGAGGGGCACATGCATGCCCCATTTTCTTTGCTTTGTGGGTGCCCCCACCCCCAGCTCCCTCCCAGATCCTCCTTGGGATTAAAGGCCTTATATGGATATGACCCCCCCACCCCCAGACTGCTGTGACATCACGGTGGGCAGTGCCAGTCACTCACAAGTGAGCTACCTGCAGTGGCTATGTTACTGCAGTCCAGCCCCCCCCCCCCCCACTCTGGTCGTTGATGGACTGGTAAACAGCATGGCTGACCCTGGGGCTGTGAGACGGGCCAAGGAGGTCTTCTCTGTCCATCACATTCTGTGGATATGAGTCAGCTAGCATTGTGGGCCACTCTGACATCCAGACCTGAGCTGAATTTCCTGCCTGCTTTGGGGTCCCTCACTCAGACCTATCCACCATCACCTTCCAGCTTTGCCTTTGGGACAAAGTGTCTGCTGCACTCATCACAGAGACCGGCCCCAGGCCTCCCATTCAAGGGGCTCACTAGCACACTCAGAGCCCCCTTGAGGGCCTCACGTGGGATATGTGACTTTGGCAGGTTGCCAGAAGCTCTGTTCCCTCCGTTTTTTCCCTCGTAGGGGGTGAGTGGTAAAGGCCCCCACTTCAGGCAGAAACAAGCACACATGCGGGGGGCCTGGCATGTCGCTGTCACCCACAGAACGCTAGCTATTCCCAGATCCTGCATCCCTGAGCCCGCATGCAGCAGTGCTGATGACGCGTGAAGGACATACGAGGGGACCTTCTCCTAACCCTCTTGTTTTTGTTGCCCGACGCCCCAGGCTGTGTAGGTGAGTGAGGTCCCTGTTCTCATTCCAGGTGGCTCTGGACCTGTGGGAGGACTTCAGCCTCTGCCGAGAAGGGCAGAGAGAATGGGTCATCCAGAAGATCCATGAGTCCCAGTTCATCATCGTGGTGTGTTCCAAAGGCATGAAGTACTTCGTGGACAAGAAGAATTACAAGCACAAAGGCAGCGGCCGCGGCTCTGGAAAAGGGGAGCTCTTCCTGGTGGCGGTGGCGGCCATCGCGGAGAAGCTCCGCCAGGCCAAGCAGAGCTCCTCTGCCCAGCTCAGCAAGTTCATCGCCGTGTACTTCGATTATTCCTGCGAGGGCGATGTTCCTGGCGTCCTAGACCTGAGCACCAAGTACAAGCTCATGGACAACCTTCCCCAGCTCTGTTCCCACCTGCACTCCAGAGACCATGGCTTCCTGGAGCCTGGGCAGTACCTGGGACAGGTGAGCAGAAGGAACTACTTTCGCAGCAAGTCAGGCCGGTCCCTTTACGTCGCCATTTGCAACATGCACCAGTTTATCGACGAGGAGCCTGACTGGTTTGAGAAGCAGTTCGTCCCCCTCCGGCCTCCCCCACTCCACTCCCGAGAGCCAGTGCTGGAGAAGTTTGACTCGGGCTTGGTGTTAAATGAGGTCATGTGCAAACCAGAGCCCGATGGTGATTTCTGCCTCAAGGCGGAGGCTGCGGTCCCCGGGGCACTGGCCAACTCGCCCTCGGAGGGCCTGCAGTTGGGCCTGGACCAAGACGCAGAGGCTGGGCCCGGGCCAGGGGGCGGCTCGGTCCTGCGGCCCCTGCTGCACGCCAGGAAAGCCTCCAGCCCCTTGGACATGCCTCGGGACTCGGGCATCTACGACTCGTCAGTGCCCTCCTCGGAGCTGTCCCTGCCCCTAATGGAAGGACTCTCGGCAGATCAGACAGAAACATCTTCACTGACAGAGAGCGTGTCGTCCTCCTCCGGCCTGGGTGAGGCACGGGGGAGCTGAGGGTGCTTTGGGGTTGGGTTCCTGATGCAGTCCATAGCCTTTGTCCCTAATTCCCAAATCCATGCAAGTGTTTTTTTAAGTTGGGTGCAGACTCATTGGCAATGAAGCTTATGGGCAGAAGCACGACTCCACTGACAGTGTCGATTTCTTCTAGGCGATGGAGATGTTCACTTATGTGAGCAGTGAGTGAATACTGAGGCTAAGTGAGGGTGAGCTACCTGGCCCCTGCCAGGAGTGTTATGCCACATACAGTGTGTACATCGTATCACCTTCCTGACCTCCACAGGCCTCTGGCTACCGAGACAGAGCTTGCCCCAAGTGTACCAGATGAGGGTCTGTGGACTTTGTGTTTGTTGGGCTTTGCAGTGTTCGCCACCCCTCACCAGTGCCAGTGCTTTCAAAGCCATGTCTTTTAACGATCCTGGGGTTGGTGGGCACGGTGTTCTGTCCACCACAGCTGACTCAGCAAAGGGCCCGGTGGGGGGGCCCTGTGGGAGAGCCCGGCCTCCCCAGGGAATGCCAGCAGGATGCCCTCTGGAGTTGTACCTTACAGTGCATGGAGTCGTACATGCAGGCCCTTGACTCTCAAGTAAGGGAACCTGCCAATAGGATGGGACTGCTCAGTCTTGACTTGGTTGGGGGGGCCTGCCTCACTCGTAAAGCCCGTAGTGCAAACCGAGGTTCAGCCACAGCCTGGCCTGAGCCCCCGGTCCGGTAAAGTACAATGACGTGTGGCTCCCCCATGTCTTCTTTCCTTAGGTGAGGAGGACCCTCCTACCTTCCCTTCCAAGCTCCTGGCCTCCGGGGCGTGCAAAGCAGACCCTGGTTGCTACGGCTACACTGGTGAACTCCACGCGGTCGCCCCTTTGTAACGAAACGGAAGTAGAGTCTAAGCATTGCCACTTTAGCTGCCGCCTCTCTCTGGTCCCCCAGCTCTTCTCTCTGGTTGCGCAGTCCACTTGGAGCTGAGGTCTCCGACAAGGATATTTGGAGTGAAATTCGGGCCAATACTTGCTCTCCGTGCCCCATCCCTCTACCTGGTATCTTGGCCAAGTCTCCAATTTTCTCAAACCATATGGGTATCTCTGAAAGGCATATCCATAAGGCCCGAGAGCAGCTTGTCCCGTTAGGTCAGACCTTGGATTAGAGTCGGTTCTGGGAGGTAGGGAGGAAACAGGCACAGAGATGCAGGAACATACCTGCACTGATCACTCAGATTTTGTTTCTCTCTGCAAACTTTGCCTGTTTGCCGTTGGCTACTTTGAACTGAAAGTTGTGTGGGAGAAGCACTCTTAGTACCATTCTAGCCACAGAAATCAAGTGCCAGTCTTTCTGGGATCCATGTTGCTACAGATGATGGTTTTAGTGTAGAATTTGCAGTGCTGTGGGTGTCCAAAAGAGCTCCGAGTCAAAGGTCAAAAAGGTAACTGAGTCTACTATCCCCTTTCCTAAAATGAGTCTTTATGTATTAGTGGGGGCATGGCTGGCTGAGGTGGGGGCTGTGGGGTTAGGCTGAACATGCCATCAGTATTTCCTGACCTGGGTTGGTCATTGTGCAGAAAGCATCAAAACTTAGGGCACAGGAACACCTGTTGGTGTGAGGAGGCATCATGGGGGGGCCAGATCTGCCTGCCAGGTTTCCCTGGGTTCTGTTCGCTGTGCAGTATCTCAGACGTTGCTGCCTGGAAGTTTATTTTTAAAAGACAAATACCCAACTGGGCTGTCTTACTGGAAGCTGGAGTTCATGCTTCAGTGGACTTCTCTTCTAAAGCTGTGTCTGGAATATTAGGGATCAGGATCGACTGAAATATGGCTGTGCATACAGATGGCAGCCACTTACCTTGCCGAGCCAGTTTTGACTAATGAGAAGTCTCATTTTAAGGGGGTGCGAAGAAGGGAACGGTCACGAAGATGAGTGTGCTCTTCTAATAGCATCTGAAGAAGACAGGAGACCTGAAATCATTGAATTCTTGAATCTTAAAGTACTCCCCATCTCCCCACTCCCCTCAATAACCCAGCCTGTGAATCATGTTTCACTGCGTGTTTCTGTTCTACGTACCAGACAAAAGATTTGTCTCTTGTGCTCTCTTCTACCAAAAGAGCTATTTAGAGCTTAGGGGGAAAGAATTTGCTTTAAAAAGGGAAAGTAAATGTTCTGTTTCTATGAATGATGTTTCTCCAGAATTTCTGTTTCCAAAAGAGAAAACAGGTGTTCAAATCCTGTTTGTGTATTAGGTATGTGGGTCATGATGACTTGGTCTTCCCTGTAGAAACCCCTGTCCCCTTGAGGGCTTGTAAGCATATTTCTCCACCTTTTTCGTGGGTGCTGTTGGATTTGAGCACCCTGCTTTTACTCAGCACTCACACAGGGGATCCTGGGTTTCACTCCTTTAGCAGACAGGATCAATATTACGGGAGATACTGAGGAACAGCTCAAGGAGGGGTAGGAGGTGACACGGGGCATGACTTTTCCATCCAAGCACATGCTTGGCAGATGGGGAAGGGAAGGTTTGCAGCCTTGCTGGAAAGAAGAGGTTTGTGTGTATTTTTGATGCAAATGCCACACTGCATGTTCTGGAAAGGCAGCTGACGGCTTCTTGGAGAAGAACGTGCTTGTCTGTCTCCGGCATCAAGTTTCCTGCAGCTGCTCTGAAGGGGAGACAAGGGAGCTGCAGAACTGTCTCCCCCATAAAACCAGGCATCTTGTTGGAGAAGAGATGTTCCATGTCACTGTGGAATCTGGGACATGTGCAGAGCTCATGCCCACACGTGACTGTCCTGCCATTCTGCCGTTGGGATAAGTTCTGCAAGGGAACTTGCGAACATGAAAATTCACTTTGGAACATTATCAGAGAGACTGAGGCCAAGAAATGGTGCATGCTCCAAAGGAGCCATGAGGAGCTACTTTTGGGATATTCAGCTTTGCACATAAAATGAGGCATCTCTGAGAAAGCGATCCCCAGAGCAGCACGGAGGACTGGGGGTGGGGGGAACATCAATGGAGCTCCATGAGCATGGGCAGAGAGATGGCTAAATGAACTTACTTCTTTTGAAGATGCAAGAGGAAAAACTGTGCTAGACCAAAAATCAGGTAAAGTTTTAGTTTGGATTTAGGGTTTGGATACCTATTTTTAAGAACTAATGTTTCTTATGTTTCAACACAATTAAATTCTAACATACCAAGTAGCAAAACCATAGTATGAATGCCTAAGTCAGACTAAGTTGAGATGTCCCAACTTTGTGGTTTTGCCTTATTTGTTTCTCCTCCTCCTCTTCTTCTTCTTCTTCTTCTTCTGTACCCTTTCCATCTCTTGCTGGGAATGAGAACAGTTGCTTTGCAGATTAAGGCAAAACATCTGTTTTAAGCAGGGCTGCATTCTTTGACATTGTTCCGGATAATGGAAATGGTAAGATAGAATTCAGATAAAAGTTCTGCTGAACCACAGCCTTTCAGAAATTGGGGCTATAAGACTTAGACTATAGGGATGGACTCCATGAGAAGCCATGATCTGGAGACTAAGAGGCTTGTGTGGCTAAGTTAGCTGGTGTCCTCTGGGCAGGAGAGCAGGGGTAGGTGCAAGGAACCAGGTAAGCAAGTCTTGAAGGTAGTTGAAGGTAGGGAGCTAGTTGTTGATCTTAACTCACCAGTGCCCTGCAGAAAGGACTTCGCATCGGATATAGTCAGCTTTGCAGAGTGGGAGGGATTAGGGAGCTGGAAGCCCAGGTAAAGGTGAGCTTTTCTCCCAGAGGTTGGCTCCAAGCAACAAGAACCACCTAGACAGACCCAGGCCAGACACACAGGAGGGGCAGTGTCCTCCAGACGGCCAAATCCTGGGCCTTTGGGGCACACTGGTCTCCAGAAAGAATCAGAAGTCACTCAGGTCCAGGCCTAGGTGTTCATGTTGGGTGACCAGCCAGGTAATAGCATTTTGAGCCAAAAATGAGATGGGACCTTAAAGTCATGAGACAGGTTTTGGTTGACACATTAGTAAAAACTGAAGACAGTCCCAGAGCACAGTTCGAAAAGTGTCTTTAACAGCCATGACATTGGAATCCATGTGTAGTAATTTAAGTTCATGTATGTTGACACATCAGAGTTCAGTCTTGCTACTTCATAGCTGCAAATGTCTTTTTTTTTTTTTTAAACCAACGCCTCATCTCAGATTCCCTGACTTAAGCACAAATAAACAGGAAGACAGTCCCTCCAAAAATGTGGAGTTAGATGATTTTCAGAACTTTTCCTTTTTCCAGAATTGAGCATCCTTTAAAGAAACGAAAACTATTTTATTCCTGGAGAAGAAATGATATACACTCCTCTTAAAGAAAACCCCACGATCCCCAATAGCCTCAGCACTAGGTTGACTCTTTCAGGGGAGAATTATTCTTTGTGTCCTTATTGGAGAGATGTAGGTGGACAATACCCATGTGAGGGTTATTAGCCTTTTCTGTTGTTTGTGAAGACTGTTGCTCTTATGTAGTGGATGTCTTCAGGGGGTGCCCATGCAGCAGGCCAGGAGTAATGATAAACAAGGTGTGGTGATAAATGACAATGAGCTGCCTCCTCAGTGTCAGAGAGACCATAGGGCATGGTGGGGACTGTGCCAAACAAGTGCTTCCTGCAGGAGGCACTTCCCACCTGCAGGAAGGCAGCTCTTCCAGGCAGTTGTGGCCATGTAGTGTTTACTGATTTTTCCATTTTTCAAGAGAGGCTGAGAATATGAAATTTTTTTTTTTTTTTAAAAGTAGGCTCCTTGCCCAATGTGGAGCCCAGCCAGGGGCTTGAACTCATGATCCTGAGATCAAGACCTGAGCTGATATCAAGAGTCGGATGCTCAACCCAACGGAGCCACCCAGCCACCCTGACAGTCTGGGTTTTATATGAAAAATTATGATTTTTTTAATGGTATTGGCAACTAAATAAATCTTTTTTTTTTTTTTTCCAATTCAAGCTCAACAGAACACATGAGTGGGCCTGATTTGGCCTACTAGCTGCCAGTTTGCCCCTTTGCCTCATAAGATTTGAAATGAAAAGCATTCGTGGTAATTACAGATGTCTGGTATTACCAGAAAATGCTCTTGCTAAATGCAGCTGATGGCTAGATCATTTTCCCCCATCTTGCTCCCCCAAAGAAGTTTGATATGATTGTGAATGTATTTGCGATGTTTTGATTATTTCTTTATGTTTTGTGGTGCCTTAAGAGAAAGGCAAACCAGTTACTAATTTCAAAATCAGATTTATAAAGGGGTGCCTGGCTGGCTCAGTTGGTACAGCGGACAACTCTTGATCTCGGGTTGTAAGTTCAAGCCCCACGTTGGGTGTAGAGGGTTACTTAAAAAATAAAATCTTAAAAAAACAAAACAAAAAATCAGATTTATGTTCTCCAATTTAAAAAACCTAACACTTGGAGCAACTTTCATTTGAATTCCACAACCTAAAGGACATATTTATAGTTTTAGTTCTTGGCTTAATTTTTAAACGGTGTGCAATTCTGAGCTTTGGCCAAGAGTTAAAGAGAAAAGCAGACATTGTAGGGGGTGGGGCAAGGAATCCCCACGTGTCCACCAGAGTCAGGCCATTTGCATTGTCTTCTGTTTGAAACGATCTGTGAATCGACTCTGTTTTGGAGATGTGAAACAGTACACGGAGAAAAGCTTTTCCTGATACTGAGAGATCAGTTAGGAGTCCTTATGGGGTGTTGGGTCATCCTTTCTGTGTCACCTCCCTTTCCAGGCTCAGGGTGGAAATAAACAAAAGGAAATCTGACTGTAAGCCAATAGCTTGGCTTCCAATTTCAGAGTTTTGGACCTGGGAGAAAGTTTGGATTATCTAGCATGTCTTCCCCCTGCTGGTGTCAGCGGGGTCTGAGCCTGAATTATTTCAGACATATGGCTATGGATGGGATGCTGGATTTTCAGGGAGGGAAATTCAGTAACCTACCCCACTGATCAGATAGTTCTTTGTACATATTACAGAAATTCAAACCAGCCTTCTTTTGTTCCGCATGTCGTGGAAGAAGAACAGCTGGTTACCTTCCATGTATTTGAAAACCCCAGTGAAGTCATCCCCTTGGTGTTTTTATTTCTGTGGTAAATAATCCCGCCTGCTTAAACCATTCTTCATAGCTCTTGTTTCGCAAGCGCTTGATCATTTTCACTGCTGTTCTGTGTCTCGGATTCACGCTCAGTTTCGTCGTGCAAACAGAACATGGTGCCTTACTCACATTGGTGCCTTGAGAAGGCCAAGGGCAGGATGGGGATTACAGGGAAATCCTCACGCACCCAGGTTCTCTTACTACTTAAAACTGTAATGGCACTTTTAAAAAGTGGTATATTGCCTGTACTCATTTTGATGATTACTTGGTTGCCACACTCATCCCTCCTGCCCAGCAAGAGCCTATTACGTCCTCCCCACCCTTCTTGTGGTCAGACACTTGGTGCTTATTCCTGATGTGTTTAATACCATTCCTGAGCTGCTTCAAGACCAGCTCTCACCTTCTGAGTGGCAGCTCCCCCTCCCTGCCAGTTTTAGATTCTATTTTCGCACCTCTCTAGACATCACCTCTCATTGATGACTCACAATATTATTAGATGGTTTGGACTTCACTTTAACCACTGGCGAGATGGAGAGCAGTTGGCTAAGGGCTGATTTGCAAAGAGAGTGAGGGAGGACCTCTTGGGAATTTTGGCCGGCTGCCTCTCCTCCCATTCTTTGGTTCCTCCCTGAAATTCTGCTGGGACCGCAGACAACCTTAGGAGCTTTCCTGGGTTCTGAAGGGCTGGAGCCATGACTCTGAAATGACTCAGCACTGTGTTTTGCACAATCAGAAGTCTGACAAAAGCAATCTGATGATGATCATATCTGATGTTGATGCCAAATAAAAGTCCAGTCGAGAAGATTCAAAGAAGCATTCTTCTGTTTGTACACGATACGGACAAAGTTGCCTGCTCCATCTGTTAGACAAAAAAATTACTGTCGGGTCACACTAACGTGTAACTGTTATTTAAAAGTTTTGGGTTTTTTTCCTCAAGGAAAAAGAATGGTGAGTTTAGACAGAGCAAAAACTTTTGTAAAAACCACATGTGTTCATTTAGAGAGTAGGTAATTTCTATTTTCACTAATTTTTTTTTTTTAAACTACAGAAGCTCTCTGTTACTACGTTCTAGGGGGGAAAGCCTGTGGAACATGAACATGGTGGTTGTTGTCCTTGTCTTGGTTTCATCTTTAAGATTGTCCTTGCTGGGGTTTAGAGGAATAGTGAGCACTGACAGACTGTAACAGTGTGCTCTATTTTTACATTGAAAACAATGTCTTATTTGATTTGTACATAACTGTAAATAGGTGACAGTAGGTCACAGCTGACATTTGCAAAATGTTGTTTTTGTACCTTAGCATTTCTGCACCAAATAAAATGTTTTAAGATTGCAATGGTTCGTTATTCTGCATCATCTTTCCTGTTTCCTGAGGAGCTGGGTGCCTAGCACAGCTTTCTGAAGGCTCTGCCTCTGAGAAGGAGAGAGATTATCCAGGGTGAGGAGGCGAAGGCAGCCAGTAGGTCTTGCATGGAAAACCTGCTGCCTTGAGCATTTGCCTTGCCTTCTGGCAGGCAGTTGCATATTGCCTGTGTGGAGTCCAGAACAGGGATATTCATGGTCAACTGTCAGGACAAATGGAACTTCTTTTCAGAAATTTGAAAAGCAGGGCACCTGAGTGGCTCAGTCCTTTGAGCATCTGACTCTTGGTTTCAGCTCAGGTCGTGATCATGGCATTCCTGGGATCCCTGCGCAAGCCTCTTTCTCTCTCTCCTTCTGCCCCTCCCCCTGCTCTCTCAAATAAATAAATCTTTTAAAAATATATTTTATTTATTAGAGAGAGAGCTTGAGTCGGGAGCAGGGGCAGAGAGAGAGAGAGAAGCAGACTCTGCTGAGCAGGGAGCCCAACACGGGGTTCGATCCCAGGACCTGGGATCATGACCCGCGCCGAAGGCAGATGCTGAACAGACTGAGCCACCCAGGTGCCCCTCAAATAAATAAATCTTTAAAAAAAAAAAGTTGAGCCACTGAAATGTGGGAGCCACAAATGTTCTGTCATCCAATAAAAGTGGCTTCTCATTCTTCCAGTAGACATTCCCTCACCTCCTGTGTGCAAATATTGAGAGTAAATTTGTTACACTGCTTAAGCAAACAGATCTAAAGGGACTCAACTGGAAGACGATCAGGCAGATGCTGAAGTAAGTACTTTCTTTCCTCTTAGTGGGGGGGGTGGGGATTTGGTTTTGGACAGCAGAGAAACCCTATTTTTTTATCACACTGGTAGAAAACAGTCTGCTTTTACAGCTCCTTCTTTTTTCTATCTTTTTTCCTTTCTTTCCATTTTATTTATTTATTTTTAATTTATTTGAGAGAGTGAGAGAGATCACAGAGGGAGAGAAAGGGCTTGAGCAGGGAGCATGATGTGGGGCTCGATCCCAGGACCCTGGGATCATGACCTGAGCTGAAGGCAGACGCTCCACCAACTGAGCTGAGGCAACCCTATCTTTTTTTTTTTTTTTTAAGTACTATCTACACCCAGCACGGGGCTCAAACTTATGGCCCCACCATCCAGAGTCGCATGCTCTCCCGACGGAGCCAGGTGCTCCTCCTGTTCAGCGTTCTTACAATTGCCAACATCTGTGGGGCAACTGGTTTTACTTTGTTTTAGAAATGCAAACTTAAAGGGCGCAAAGACCAGCTTCCCTTGCAGGCTCTAATTAGAATTTCATTTGCTTTGGTTGAATAAGAGACTACTGACAACAAGCTAAGCAGATGGAGGAGGGAGACGTAGAAATACATCTTTGCTGTCCTGGGCATCAGTGGGTCTTCAACAGATGCCCGTTTCCCACCCCTACCCCCAGTATATCCTGTCCTCACTGTCCATGGGAACAAAATCAGAAATGGTCCAAGAATAGGGTAGGTAGAGGATGCAGTGAAGGAGGGAAGGACACAAACCCCAGTAAGGCCTTTTGCAATGAGATAAAAATTCAAATACGGTCTTTGGGATTAAGGGAAAGTAATACAAGATCAGTGAGCTTGGCTCCCCGGCCTCTTTGGGGGGGGGGGGGTGTTGCACCAGTTTTCAAATTTATAGATGACACAACCCTCTTGCATCTCAGAGTCTGAAGTATGTAGTGGGGATATAGTAATGGCTAAGATGCAAACATGATCCCTTCCCTCCTGAGTCTGTCTCTTTGTATATATAGGAGTGTGGGCAAGAAACCTGATTGTTCTGAGCCTGTTTTTTCATCTGTGGGACGGGACTGAAGACCCACTGCATGGAGGTTATTGTGAGGTTCAGATGAGATGGGGGTCCATAAAACACCCGTGGCCAAGCTTGGCAAGTGCCTGGCACTTGAGAAATAGTGACTTATTAATCACTCTGTGGAAGAACAAGACTTGGGTTCTGTGGAGGTCAGATGGAAATGGGTGGGAGACAGTTTCCTGCTCAGAGGAGCTGCAGCCCAGGGACTTTGTCAGGTGCTGAGATTAAGCATCTTATCCCCTAAGAGAAGAGAATGGATCCGTGCCTGGCTGTTCTGGTGTTGGTCCAGGATGGAAAGGATGGGGTTTGGGGAGGGGGAGGTGCTCCTGGCAAACTTAAATTGAGACAGTAATGCTGGGGTTCTTGGTAGTTGAACATATGTATCCTGTGTCGGCAGACTGAAGTCTGAGATCTGCT